CGTCGAGACATTGTGAAATTGCTGAGGTGGTCCGGCTCGTTTCGCCTGAGACACTCTCGCAACACTGGGCTCCCTGGCCCTGCGCGAGAGCTCGGCCGTCCCAACTCGCCCGAAATATGTTCAACGTTTTTTGGTTCGGCGATGCCGTGACGTGAGGTTGCCTCGCCCGTTTCGCGTGAGACATCCTCGCTACTTTAGGCTTGGAGATGCTGCCCGCGAGGTGATGTGGTCAGTTTCGCCTGATACGTCCCCGCAACTCAGGGCACCACCATGCCGCGTGCGAGGAGGTCCACCCGGTTTGGCATGCGACGTCTTCGCCATTCTGCGCAACCGCTGAGGGGGAGTGCGAAGAGAAGGAGGAGGAGGAGGAGGAGGAGGAGGAGGAGGAGGAGGAGGGGGGAGGAGGAGGAGGAGGAGGAGAGGCGGAAGAGCAGGGAGGAGGGGGAAGAGGACGAACGAGGACGAGGACGAGGACGAGGACGAGGAGAGGAGGAGGAGGAGGAGGAGGAGGGGGAGGAGGGGAGGAGGAGAGGAGGAGGGAAGAGGAGGAGAGAGGAGGAGGAGGAAAAAAAGGAGGGGGAGGAGGAGGACGTGAAGGAGGAGGAGGAGGAGCTGGAGGAGGAGGGGGAGGGGGAGGAGGAGGAGGAGAAGCAGGAGGAGGAGGAAGAGGAGGAGGAGGAGGAGGACGAGGAGGAAGAGGAGGTGGAGAAGGACGAGGAGGAGGAGGAACAACAGCAGCAGCAGGAGGAGGAACGGAGGAGAAGAAGGAGCTGGCTGCGCAGCTGGAGAGCAGATGCCGGGCCCCGCGTGCTCTTCGGACAGGATGAGCACAGGCTCACGAAGAGCTCGGGGCCGTGCGCTCGGCCGGCGGACGGTTTCGTGGTGCAAGGGGCTGTCACGGGGCCTTCGGGCGTCCTCCTCCTCCTCCCCGTCGTTGGGCCTGGATCGAGGCTCGAGGTGGTTCTCTTGGTTTTCCGATGGCGCTTTTGGCCGCGAGCTACCCTGGGGGGTTATGGCTACCCCAGCTCTGGCCGTTGGACAAATGTTTCCTCGGTTCCCCTTGGGTGTTTGAGCTAACCTGGGGGGTCACGGCTACCCCGGCGCTGGCTCGTAGGAAACGTTTCCGTCGCACTCCGCCGTCGACTACACAGCTGTCGTTGTAGGCGTTGTCGTTTGCACTCTCGCTGACGTCGTCGTCGTCGTCGTCGCAGCCGTCGCCCGTCGTTGGTCCAGGATCGAGGCTCGAGGTGGTTTTCTTGGCGTTCCGATGGCGCTTTTGACCGTGAGCTACCCTGGGGGGTCACGGCTACCCCAGCTCTGGCTCCTGGACAGATGTTGTTTCGGCTCCACCTGGGTGTTTGAGCTAACCTGGGGGGTCACGGCTACCCCGGCGCGGGCTCGTAGGAAACGTTTCCGTCGCACTCCGCCGTCGACTGCACAGCTGTCGTTGTAGGCGTTGTCGTTTGCATTCTCGCTGACGTCGTCGTCGTCGTCGTCGTCGCAGCCGTCGCCCGTCGTTGGTCCAGGATCGAGGCTCGAGGTGGTTTTCTTGGTGTTCCGATGGCGCTTTTGACCGTGAGCTACCCTGGGGGGTCACGGCTACCCCAGCTCTGGCTCCTGGACAGATGTTGTTTCGGTTCCACCTGGATGTTTGAGCTAACCTGGGGGGTCACGGCTACCCCGGCGCTGGCTCGTAGGAAACGTTTCCGTCGCACTCCGCCGTCGACTACATAGCGCTTGCGGACGTCGTTGCAGTCGTTGTCGTTTGCATCCTCGCTGACGTCGTCGTCGTCGGCGTCGTCGTCGCAGCCGTCGTCTATCGTGGGTCCAGGATCGAGATTCGAGGTGGTTTTCCTGGTTCTCCGATGGCGCTTTTGGCCGTGAGGTACCCTGGGGGGTCACGGTTAACCTAGCTGTGGTGGTTGGAAAGATGTTTTCTCGTATCCCCTTGGACTTTTGAGTTACTCTGGGAGGTCTCGGCTACCCCGGTGCTGGCTCGTAGGCTACGTTTCCGTCGCACTCTGCCGTCGACGACATATTTTTCGAGGGCGTCGCTGTGTTCGTTGTCGCCAGAATTGCGAGAGTGTTTCAGGCGAAACGGGCCGGGCCACCTCGGCAATTTCACAATGTCTCGACGCGCGGGCCCCTCGGGGTGCACTCGATCTGACTACAATAATACCCCCCGGCACCGACCAGCAGGCGACCCGGGGACACTCCACAACAAAACTTATGGAACGGCAACGAACGAAAAGTTCCCATGTATATATATATATATATATATATATATATATATATATATATACATATATATACACATATATAAACATATATATGTGTGGGAGTTTTTGGAGTTTTTTGGCGGCAGCCCGTCTTTGCGCGAAACCTCGGACGCTGTTCCTCTCTCCAACCTCTCTCTCTCTATCTCTCTCTCTCTTCCCCTATTTCTCTATGAGCACGGGAGCCTCATGCAATTGTGCGTTTGGGACGAATCCACGGTACA